GGTCAAAATCAGGGCTGCAGAGCTGGCTTTCGGCACGTCTGAGTGTTGTGTGACTGTAGGGAGCAGAATTTCCGATCTAATCAATGGTTTAGTTGCAATTGCTGTTTTGAAGGCCATTTAAGTAGTGTTTTGAGYGGTGTCATTTGAGTAGTGACATTGGCTTTTACAATACATTAGCTTGTCACAGGCTGTTCACGATCAAAGTGCTAATTTTACACACTTGGTAAATGGCTAAAATATTGATAAGCTCCTAGGGCAGTGACAACCAAGGGGACAAGATCTTCCTTCAAATCTTGGGAATTTCACTGCAGAGCAGCCATGCGACCACACTAAAGACCTCTCGCTTTTCCAGGAAGGATCCAATTAACTGATTTTTGTTGTCTTGGTGGGCGAGGATAAACTTCTGCTGGGCCATATGGTATAAACCTGTAAGCCTTGCATTAAAGCTGACCTCCCTTTAGGAATCTCTAATCCAAGTTTGAATACCCTAAAGAGAAATTTCCGCCTCCGGTACCCATATGGCTTGTGGGCCTCTCTGTTCATATGAACTAATGGATGAGATGCTTTATCAGTGTTGGATGCGACTCTTTCCACAGCCTGGTACTAGGGACCCTGCTTGCACATTTCTCTCCCGCTGATTGTGCTGCTTTGAACTGAGACATGGGATATCTGTTGCCTCTTTGGCTTTTGCAGTGTTCAAAGCCAGAGAAATTATTTTTTTCCCCTAATATGCAAATATAAGCTCATCCTCACAGCCCACCTTGTGGGGGCCACTTGCAGGGGCTTTTCCCCATGGATGCGCTCGGAAGGGTCTGGATGGTGGTGTCAGAATATCCTGGCTGTCTCCGGAGTCACCACGTTCCGTTCTGTCAGGACAGTCMAGGCAACGGGCCAGGCTTTGTGGCTCCCTTCTCCACGCTGCAGCATCTTCTCCCAACAAACAGAGTGATTTCTGTCACTTTGGAGGGCTTTTGAAGCGCCGCGTCAGCAAAATCAGGCAAGTCTGCAAGGATGCGGAGGAATAACTTCTCCAAAGGGGCAGCCTGGGCTTTTACATTTGCAGTGTCCGATGAAAAGCAGAAAGCTGCTGAGAAGCAGGAGATGTGCAGTGTTGGTGAGCAGCCAGCCCTGCCCTCTTGTGTCGCCTTTGCCACTGGCCATCACCAGGGCTGCCAGCTCTGCCTGAGGAAGGGCTGCGAAAGGAGGCTCCTGCACATCCGGAAGGCAATTCCCAGCCTCACAGCAGTCCACCCTTTTCACCTCCTCTTTTCTTTGTAGGCTTGATCCAAAACTTGGCAGTGTCAGCAGAGTCTGTGAAATTAGTGGACTTTAAATCAGGTCTCCCTTTTAGAGTCAGGATAGAGAAGGAGATGATGTTCCTGCGGTGCCATTACTAGATCTCCCAGATCACTCAGGGCAGTGCTGGCAAAGGGACCCTTCCTACATCATCCTGGGATGAAATTTTGTTGAGAATTTGTTTGGTTTTTTTCTTTTCCTTTAGGCTCTTCTTTCACTCCACAGCCCCAGGAGCTTTCCCATTGCTGTTATTGTGGCAGGAGAACCGGAGACAGGGACCAGGTGAGATTACACTGTGTAGCAGCAGGTTACCCAGCCTAGACATCTTCTGCATCCTTCTGTAGGTTGGTTTTGACGCCAAGGTCACCCTAGCACACACACTCTGAATGTTTTATCTGCCTTGCAACTATTTTCTTTGCCACAAGATGGGGATCTAAGCAGCATCTTAGTCCCAGGTGCTGCGTGATCCAAGCTTGGGACATTCTGACTCTTGTACATCTTGGTGTRTTGTTCAAAGAGAGTCTGGTATAGATATAAAGAGAGAATGGTCTGGTATAGATACAGGAATCTCGGCACAGGGAGGTTTGCTGGTACAGGTCAGCTCTGTTGTTTAGATTGGCTTAAGAGAAAACTGAAACAAAGTTGCCTTGGTGGTAATTGGTGAAATAGTATTGTTACTATGTGAGTGTCTTGCTTCCTCGTTTTGTCTAGCGGGCTGTTTAGAAAGGGAGAGCGAGTATCATTCTCAGTTCCACCTTACGTTGAACAAYCCCTGTAAAAATACGAGACATCAAGCAATGTTTTGAGTTATTGCTTCTCTCAGAAGTTTGGAAGCACAGCTTAAAGTATGGATYGCTTTGCCTATTCTCTAAGAAGGACAAGATAACAAGATGAAGTTAAATGAGGAAGAACCAGTGAATTCGGTCTTCATTAAAAGCTTTCTTGGAGTTGCTTATAAAGCTCTTACAGTCTGCAAATTCCATCACTGGAAATTGTTTGTTTTAATACAGTGATATCACTGCCCAGGTGTAGGCATGGTCAGCACTGCTGCTTCGGAAATGGAAAGCATGAAAAAAGTTGCTTGATGGGAATGCTGAAATACTATTTATCTTGTTTGGCAGCTGGAAAGCTGGATTTGCTCTTTCAGGCTGGCAGGTCATCGAGATAGGACACTCTGTTGAGGTCCAGAAGTTTCCTATTGTTGACCTGCTCCTCCTGTGTGGTATAAATGGGATGTGTAAGGAACTGTGTTGTGCATAGCCAGAGTTATTTCTGAAACATTTACGTTGTACAAATGCAGTTCTGTTTGTGTAGCTTGGCATATCTGGCTTCATGGCCCTGTTTTTTTTTTGTTTTTTTGTTTGTTTGTTTGTTTGTTTGTTTGTTTGTTTGTTTTAAGGGACTTCAGCACAGGTGCCATAATAATACCATTTAAGTTGCCCAAGGACAAAGTGGACTTCCTGAGTCTAATTGAACACATTTTTCCACATCACTCATAACTAGAGCAATATTTAAGAGAGACCTTGCCCAAGCACCTGCATAAATTTGGCAAACTTGGAGAAGTGCTCAACATGGAAACTGTATAGAGCCACTAAACAATGTCACTAAACTCATGTCACAATATCCTTTCTTTGGGCCTATGCTTGCTCTTTCCATGGAGATTACACAGCTGAGGTTATTTCACAGCTGTTTGATGAAATTTCAGTTGCCGTGGTAAATGTGGTTGAGAACTGTAGAAGACCTTAAGAGTAAATGAAGATGGAGATTCCTTAAAATTGTTTCTGCTAGTCAGTAATGAGTGATATAATGCTTTTCTTCTCTCTAGAGAGTGCAATTTAGCCAAAATCCGATTACTGTAAACCCTGGGTATGAACAAAAGCTTATTTCCCTGCAGGATACATTTTGTATCTCTGCAAAATCATCCTTGCCCACTCAGAGACTCCATTTTGCAGTCATTATTTGGAGAGCGTGTACTGGCAAAACAAACGAAATCATAAATAGCAGCTGATTGTCTGCTCTGTTATTATTTAGGGATATTTGAATCTGAAATAATTCCTTTTCTTGTCTTTGCTGAAGTTAAAATACCTCCGTGATGCAGAGAGACATACACTATTTGAGCTCATTACATCTCAGTATCAATTTTAAAACCATTGCAGCAGCAGTGAGGCAGTCCTCTCTGAGAAAAAAAAGATGTCATTTTGGGTCACTATGCGGAAGTTATTATCCTCCTTRCAATCATCTAAATCAATTCTAGACTTATATGAGCTGCTTTAATTTCTGTTTTCAACTTTTAAGCAACAACATACACCCACAGCTGGCCAAAGTGAGTGACTAATCCAGCTAAACCCTGTCTGGAACAGATCCTTATCCCACCAATCTGATGTTTAAAGGACAGCGCTCTGCAGAGCATCTTTTTGCTGTCTTACTAGAATGATAATTTGTTATCAACAAGAAATCCAGGAAGTGCACAAGGGAGATAAGCTGGAAGTGACTGGGAGATGTGCTGGAATGAGTAACTGGCATCATTTCATGACATGCATGTGGGCAGAACCTATCGGTTTGGGATGAAACTATGCAATGTATGTTCCTTCCCTTCCCTTCCCTTCCCTTCCCTTCCCTTCCCTTCCCTTCCCTTCCCTTCCCTTCCCTTCCCTTCCCTGTCCTTGTCCTGAAATTGGTGCTATATTAAAGCAAATATTTATCATGCTCAGCCATTCATTTGTTTAGCATTTTCCTAGGTCTTAGCACTACTTGTGTGCGTGCAAAGGGCTAAAAGAGAACATGTGCACCCAGCAATCCCATTTTGCATCATCCATATCATGCAAGGTAGATGGTACAACCTCCCTTCACCAATTAGTAACCACTGATATCTTTGATAATGGCTTTAGTCACTCCTGTAGGTCTGCTGCAGGTTGTGTAAATCAAACAAACAAAAAATGAGGTAACAACAGGGAGGTAATTTTTAGTTTAGAAAAGAAAAGAGAAGAGGAAAGAAGGGAGAGGAAAGAAGGGAGAGGAAAAAAAGAGAAAAAGAGAAAAGAGGTAAGCAGGGGGAGCCCTGCTGCTGTTGCTCCCCTATTGGCCACCAGGGGGCGTCCCCACTATATAGGGGATAGCGCGAGGGCAGCGAGCCGTTAACGGTCGCGGCGCGCGAGGAGCCGTTAACGGTCGCGGCGCGCGAGGAGCCGTTAACGGTCGCGGCGCGCGAGGAGCCGTTAACGGTCGCGGCGCGCGAGGAGCCGTTAACGGTCGCGGCGCGCGAGGAGCCGTTAACGGTCGCGGCGCGCGAGGAGCCGTTAACGGTCGCGGCGCRCGGCCCTGTTGGGTACGGGATAGGGAACCGGTTCCCCTTACCTTCAGTTTACCTAAAAAAAACCCTAGTGGAGACCAGGATAAAGAGGGGAAGGGGTCTCAAATTCAAATTTGTTCTGCTGCTGAAGCCAGACTTGATTCTTCGCAGGAGGTGGTGTTGAGCAGCAGGCAAAGAGTGGAAGAGGTCTCAAATTCAAATTTGTTCTTCAGCTGAAGCAAGACTTTATTCTACATCCCGTTAGTATGAGCAAATGGTTTTGCCCATGGCAGGGTTGGCTTTGCTGTGGTAACTGCTCTCACCTGTGGTGTGCCTGGTACTCCAGGGCCGCCTTGGAGACCTCACTGTGCCCCCTTGCTTGAGTTTGTGCCATGTGGGGACTCTCATGGGTATCATGGTCAGTGTAAGTCCTCTTTCTGGACAGGACTGTGTGTACCTCTTCCTGCAGGAGGGAGAGGAGAAMAAGGCCCATACTGCCTGGTACTGCTTAGCAGTTTAGTAATGAGGCTGATCACCTCAGCTCTGCTTGGGTTAGGAGGCCAAGACATGAGTGTGAAGAGCAGCAGCTCCTGGTCTGTCCTGCTGCAGCCATCGTGAGAAGAAGGGTCACCTTTGGCAGGCAGGTAAGGTGGGTTTTGGTGGGATGTGGACTTTTCAAAGCCACCCATGCTATGTCTCACAGAGGCCATTAGCCACAGGTCTGGGGAAGTGGCTGCCCGCACAGTCTCTCAGACTGGTTGTGGTTGCTTCAGGCAGACTTGAGCTTAGCAGGGTTTTGGGGTTTTTTTTTTTGTTTGTTTGGTTGTTTGGTTGGTGGTTTTTTTTTTTTTTTTTTTTTTTTTGTTTTGTTTTTTTCCCCCCTGGAGGGGTTTGGAGAAGGAAGTTTCTTTTGCAAGGGCAGAGGTGGTGTGCCTATTACTGGTTTTTGAGGGTTTGGGGGGGTTTTTTGGTTGGTTGATTTGACTTTTTGTTTGTTTTGTTTTCCTCTTGGCTATTGCATAAGAGCTGAACTCCCAGGAAAGCTTCAGGGTAACCTCACTGTGTTTAGGTGGGAATTGTGCCATGTACTTCCTGATTTTGGTCTCCTGCGTTCTTTTGCAGCTGCCTTAATTGTAGTGTGCCTTCTAAAAGGCACAGTGATTTGTCTAGGCAAAGCTCCTTGCTGCGCTGTAGTTCCAGTTGGGTGGGTGGGAGGTGGGTATTTCACTTTACTGTTGAAGTAGTCATCACTAACTGTAACAAAAGGTGAGTGTAACAGCCTGACTGGCTTTGTGTTTTTTCACGTTTTGATTTGGTAGTAGTGATAGTGATCGATATCAGTGCATTCAGATTATGTTACTGGGGTTTTATATGTGTGCGCTTTGGTGTTTTAGTCCTGTGCAGACTTGGAGTATGTGATAGGCATGAGATCTATGCAATGAGTTGTAAATGCTGGCAGCCGACTTGAAGTTTAGCTTATGTTAATGAGTTACAAAGCTGGAGCTAATGTGATAGCAGCAGCAGCACTGTTGCTGTTAGCACTATATTACTGTTTTAAGCCCCATTTTCTCCCTTGTTCATAATCTGAATTATGGTAGTTATGCAATGATAACGTTCCTTTGCACAGGAAAAATATTTGGGTCAGCAAATCCTCAGATGCCAGTAACTGACATGTTTAATTTTCATACTTATTCAGGTTCACCTAAATATGAATTATTTTTAATAATTTGTAATCACTATTTATTTCATTGATCTGATAGGCTGGTAACCCACCTGTTGAAGTGTACATTAATTTTGTGCATAGTTATTTGATATTTCTCTGTTTTTGCTTGATTGCTTATCCTTAGAGTTAATATGTTACTGAGCCAAGCTATTTCAATAATATTTCACCAGCTCTCCTGAGATGGAGGTGTGTGTATGTATGTGTTTATATATATATTTTTTCTTTTATTTTTCTTCTATATATATGCTGAACTTAGATTGACCTTCTTATGAGTGCCCTGGAAAGTCACTGCCAGAGTCATGTAGCTCTTGGATTGGACTAGCCAGGAGAAGATGGATTTACATTCTGAGATACTGAAGTTGTCTGTAGTCCTTTGCTTTTATGCAGTCTGTTATGAAATAAATACAGAATTGTGATGTTGCAGTGGAAACAATGAATAATAGGTTAAAGCTATGTATTGCATCGTAGAAATAAAGGAGTTAAATTGGTGCAGTAGCATGAGAAAACTTGGTTCAAAATCTAATACTAGCCCTGATATTTCCCTACTCTGGATTTTTTTTTTTTCTTGACCTTCTGAGGTAAAATTCTTATTTATAATGAAGTGGGAGTGAAAACATGGATTTTCTTTTTTCTTGCTGTATTAATTGCATGATTTATTAGTCTGCATTTTGCAGTATTTTTGCCTGGCGTATTTGCCTGGCCTTATTTTTTACTAAATGGAGTTAGTAAATAATATTGATAATTATCTCAGCCAGGCTAGGTATTCTCTTCCTCCTCCCCCATCCAAAAAAAAAAAAATAAAAAAAAATAAAATAAAAATAAAAAGGCAGAAAGGCAGTGAAGTAGTTCTTGCACACAGATTATAACAGTGTAGTTGAAAACTGTGGGAAATCTGTGTTGACTGGTGAAGTCTATAAGTGAAGCTAGGTAGGCAGAGTCTATTATATAAGCCTCTCTCATAAACCTGTGTTTAGTGATACTTGACTGGGAGCTCTCACAGGCTTTCATGTGACTCTAGCAGCATTCATTTTATGAATACAGAGAAGAGTTAGGAATATGCCATATCCCCCAGTATTCCAGTGACTTAACAGGAGGGCACCCTTCAGGTATAGTAGGAGGAGGGAGAGAGAAAAGTGTTTCAGCTGGAGTAACTCCATTTTACAAACCAATACTGCTGCCCCAGCAGTTTGATGTTTTGTGTTTTGATGTTTTTTTGTCTTAGGTTTTATAGGATGAAAATGTGTGGTGTTTTGTGTGTGTGGTTTTTTTTTTTTTTTTTTTTTTTGTTTTGTTTTGTTTTGTTTGGTTTCTGTAACTACACTTTTAAAAGCCTTAACATTGTGGCTGCTGTGTAATATGAATTTGTGTCTGAACTCTGTCCCCACGCCCACTCACCCCCCACTCCAAAGTTGCCAGAAAGCCATTATAATTCACTGTCCAGATGAGTCTGAAGCCAGTTGATGGGGCTACTATGAAACTGCATTTAGGACTAAGAAGATCTGAGCTCTTTGTGGTTTATGTGAAAAGTACATTAGTGGCTTACAGTAAGMGGGAGATGGAGTAGAAAACAGTTGTATGAACTCACCTTGCAAGTCTCATTGTGTAGTTATAAGGAAAAAGGAAATTAAGAAACATTAAGGGATGTGCAAGGTTGCAAGGGAGGCATACAAAATATGAAAGGATTAGTTATGGATTAGACTGGTCCAAGTCTGCTTAGAGCAAATCAGAAAGTGAGTATGGAAATCCTGGTTACAATTGCTTATATATATATATATATATATATATGATGAATGAAAATAAAAATCTTCTTGTGATATTTTTCTCTTTGAATAGCTCAGCTCCTCCTCATCTGCCTACAGAAGAACTTTCTTTTTTGCTCCCTTTTTCTCTAACTGGATGTCTTTTAATTATTTTTGTTCTCTCTATCTAATGAACATATTCCTGGGAGGCAAATCTTCCTAAGACCTTATCTCCCCATCAGAACTTAAGGCCTGGGTTTGGAACAACTCTGTCCAGAATGATGCTTGCCTCTGAACAGAAATGGGCAGCAACAAGACCACGTGTAGGTGCTTTTCTGCCAGGAAAAAAAATAAAGGAGGAAGGAAGGGGGTGTGTGTGGTGGGGGGGAAGTCAAATTGGAAGCACCATAACTGCATAGTGCTCCTGAGAACTTGCTTTAAATTCCTCGTACAAACTCTGCTTTAACTTGTGGTGACAGGCAGTGGGGCGCTAGGGGAATCTCCTCCTAGTCCTGGCATGTGGGCTCATGTAGTCATGGCTACTGGCAGCGGCAATTTTTTTTTTCTCTTCTCTTTCTTTCTTTTAATCTTGGATGTGTGTGTAGGGGGTTGTTTTTGGGGGGTGTTTTTATTTTTTTTATTTTTTATTTTATTTTTTTTACCCTACCTTGGCTTTAGCTACTCTGTCCTATCTGTTATTTCACTAATGTATCACTAGGTGGAAAATCACAGGGTGACTGTGTTTATACGAACTGAACACTTCTTAAATGGCCAAATGTTGGACTGCAGGGTGGTGTGCTTCTGCTCTACCCGAGCACTTCTTCTGACTGTTACTGGATTCTTCCATGATGAATAATATGTTTTGCATGGCAGGCCTAATTCTGCATGGTGCTAGTGAGGCCTGTGGCTTTGCTTTTTACCTTAAAGTGTGTGAGGATATGAGGACACAGTGGGTGTTTTTTTGTTTTTGTTTTGTTTTGTTAGAGCACGTGTGTATTGAATCAGTGCCAGGACCCAGGTAACTTAAGTTTATGGGGGAAAGAAAAAAAGGGGAGCTGGCGGCTACTTAGTAGTAGCTCACTTAGTCCGTCGCTGGAAGTTTAGAAAGTGGAAGGGCTGCTCCTCCCGGACCCTCCGCCTTGAGGCTGGCGGGTCGCAGGGCTGGGGCCGCCCAGCCTCGTCCCGCCGCGTTCCCGCGATTTCTTTCCGGCTCCCGCGGGCCGCGGAGAGGAGGGGCCGGGCGGGAAGGAGGCGGGCGGCCGCCGGGGGCGGGCCAGGCCGGGCCGGGGGCTGCTCGCCCGGCGGGGGCGGACGGCTGCGGCCCGGCGAGCGGCGAGCATGGGGGCCGGCGCGCTGGCCGTCCGCGTGAGTAGCGGCTGCGGCGGGGCCCGCGGAGCGGAGCGTGCCGCGGTGCTGCCTTCCTCCCCGCCGGGCTAGCCCGCGTGGCGCTTGGCCTTTCCTCCTGCTTGTCCTCGCCTCCACTGCCTTCCGCTCTTTCCCCTCGCCTAAGCGTTTTCTTTGTCTTTCTCGGTCTTTGCCGCTTTGAAAGTCTGTGAAAGTGTTCAGAAAGGATGAAGTTCGAAAGGGCGGTCGAGGCTTTTCTTAGCCAGTGATGCATGGCGCCGCGGATGGGCACTCTGCTCGCTTTTGCAGCGTTTAGGGGTTTTACAACTACTGCTGCTGTTGATTGCTCTTTACCGCATGGTCTTGCAGAGATGGTGAAATTACTTTTTAAAATCTTGCTTATCAGAAGCAATTTCAGTAAAACAACGATAATAACTCTTCCTCAGATAAAATCAAACCTTCTTTGCATAAGATCGTATGAATTGAATTCCTTTAGAACTGTCTTCAGGGGATGATTTCATTCAGATTTTGTTCAGAAGTGCACTTTAAATTACTATGCATCGATTTCTGTTTCTAGTTAAATGTAACCTTTCTAGTTTCTGAAACATGTTTAGCACCTTTCTTTAGCTGTGGAGAGACAAGGTATTGGAAGTTCTTCTCTTAATCATGTTACAAATTTCAAGTAGGAGATGAATCTAGTAACTTTGTCTCTCTATGACTCAGTTTCTTTGAATGTTAAATTGGAAATGGCCTGGAAACATCGCAAGCCTAACCTGAGGCCTTCACTATTAAGGTTGTCCAAGCATCAGCACTGCTCAAGGAGCATTTGCTGCACTCTGAAGTTAACGTGTGCTATCTAATTTTTGTTTTATTAAGTTGCACCTGTGGCCAAAATCATATATTATTATGATTATATATATTATTACTAGTAGAGTAGGTGCAAGGAGTTGCCAATTCTTTGTTTTATGTCTGAAAGAAGGATGGGTGAACTTAATAGCAGCACCAGGGCAAATATTGATGTTCACGGATCAGAATAAGCATACCTTCTTGCAGATCAATTGACTTGAAGTGTCTGTTTAAAATAACAGGAAATACCTTGCTAAAATCTGTCTACAGTCAAGTGCTGATGACCTAAGCAAAAATTGGAGATCTTCCTTGTGTTATGATAATATTGTAAAATACTGTAACTTGCAGTAAGGTTTTCGCTATGTGTTTGTTGTTAAAATACTCCAGGATTTGGCTGATATTTAAGAAGCCTGCAAATGTGATACTTGAAAAAGTACATGATATTAGTGGGTCTTGGTTCTCTGTGTTGTGCTGGAGTAAATCATAAAATGTATATAATTATGTTTCATAAGTAACTATTACTGAACACAGCATCAGTTGATCTGTATATGTCCATCTCACCTGGCAGTGTCCCAAATTAATCAGTAGAGAATAGTATTTAAGGCATATGTCATGAGCCTTCTTCAAAATACTTTTCCAGATTGTGGTAGACATCTGAGAGACATGGTCAGTTGATGGTGGTTGTTTGGATTTTGCTTCTGTGTGTAGTTCTGATTGTTTTTGTAATACAGGTGAACTTGATATTTTAAGTCTCAGTTACTGCTTAGAGTAGTGCTACTGCTAGTCTTTTTCCATCTTAGCTGCTAACTACATCAAGCTTAAACTCATTTCCTGTTCATTACTTTAGTAGTTTTTGCTCTGCTCATTTATATTTATGTATTTCACAGAGAGTTTCCTGTGAATTAAAAGCATGTAAGACCAAAACCTTATTCCAGAGTACAAAAGTGAGTTTTGAGGGATATACTCATGCTCTACCCATGCCAACCAGCTGTTGTAAATACTAATTGCACTTTTCTGCTTCTTTAAGCAAAGCAAATCAGCTGTGAGACTGAAAGAAGACATGAAAAAGATAGCTGCACTTCCACTGAGCAAGCAGAAGGATGTAACTTGTCCAAAGGTTTTTGGTGTGAGTCTTCTGGAACTCCAGCAGCAGGGTCTGAGCAAGAATGGCATTCCAATAGTTGTGTGGAATATAGTCGAGTACCTGTCCCAGCATGGTAAGCTTAATGCAATAATATGGGCTTAGTTGGACTGTATAAGGCCCTTCAGAGAAGGGGATCCTAATCTGCTTGTGGGACAGAGGCTGAATAAAATTAACTCAATGTAGAGAATATTATTTTATATGTTTTTTATTTTTTTCCCTGCCTTGATACTCAAGTTAACATTAGAATATTTATCAAGGTCACCTACTATGTTATGATGCAGCATGTTTTCATAAATAAACTGTTAGGGTATGAAATGTATATTTTGTGTAGCTTTAAGTCATTTTCTGCTTGTAAAACATTGGACATTTATGCAGTTTCTAAAGGTATCTCCTAACCATTATCTATAAAGCGATATTCACGTCTGCTATCAGAGTACAGCACTAGATTAGGAAAGCATATTCTTCCATCTTTTTGGAAAGAATCCAGTTATTAATCTCATCTGGAAGGTAGGTCTCCAATTATTAGCTTTTTTAAGATTTGTTTAGTAAGTCTTAGCCCTTCTTAATGAAATGCATCTTTTTGAAGAAACAGCAAGTACTGTTGGTACAGAGGTGTTACCCTATGACAGTTGCTGAGCTACAGACAAGATTTTTGAGGAGGTAATTTCTTCTTAAGAAGCTACGTCTGTTTTTACTCTAGGATTTTTATTCTGAGTACTCAGTAATGATAATCCGATTGCAGAGTCTTAGATTGCCCGTCTGTGTCTTGTCAGACCATAGAAGCTGCTCAGTGTAAGCATGACGTGAGATTTAGCTTGGATTAAGGTACAGCAAAAATTGAAAATGTGACCTTTTCCTTCATGAGTCCTTGTGTGAACACTTAGTTTACTCCACAGCAAGAAGATTTTTAATTTACCCAATTCAGAGTGGTCTGCTAGAAGAGTAAAAGACTAAGGATGGGGAAAAAATATTCATCATCGACGTTTAATCAAAATGTGAAATGGGCAAGCATTGCTAATTGCAGGCCAATATAAAGATATAACCCACTCCGTTTTTCAAGAGTGCAAGCAATATTTCAAAGATACCGTTTTACTTAAGTTCTTTGAATGGGTGTTCTGGTCTTGCCTAGGGTTTATTTGCTAATTAATGGTGAATTTAACTGGGGAAAAAAAAAGTGATTCTAACAGAGGCTAAATCCTGTCAACCATGATTAGTTTTTCAGTAGAAATTCTTCTTCTGTAAAGATGCATTAACAGATCCTAAAGTTTTAAGCCACACCATGTCAGAGCCTCCATTCTTGCTTATGAGGGCCTGACTGTTTGAAAAATATGAGCTGACTATTGGTCAGCGACGTCCTTGAATTAAATTTCTGTGAAACTGCCAACTTCTATAATTCACTATTGAAGACAAGTTTTTCTGTACTGAACTTAGAAGAAGTAATGGAATATTACTCGTACATTTTAGCCCCTCTTATTTCCGTAAATGGCTGTTGGCGGAACATCAAGGAAGTTTTAACTGTATGGGGAATATGTTCTTTGCCCTGCTTGTGCTGCATGAATGAAAATCATTACTGAGATGCAGTGTTTTCTGTCACCCCGCAGATGGCAGTACAGCATGTCACATATGAATGATTTTGTTGTGAGAGGGCAAGAACACAAACAAGCAAAGATCTGTAAGCATTATCTTTCAAGTTCGTCTTTTTTCTAATATTGTATCAGTTTGTCTAGTTCAGTAAGAGATACTGGTTTTCCCTACCAATTCTGCTGCTACAGTATTTTTTTTTTTTTTTTTTTTTCCGGAAGCGCTTTGCGGACTACTAATCTGACCTAACGAAAAAGGTATATTGTATACCTTGACACTCTTAATATTGTAATTCTAAAGAATTGGAAGTTCTATAAACACAATATTACAAAGGCAGATTTTTTTGTTAGAAAAGTCTTTTTAAGAAGGTTTCCATTTACTGACGTCAGTTTCATGTTGTTGCTTTACTGAAGCTTATGAATTTCATCACATGCCTGGAAGTGAGGTTTAATACAGTGTGATTCATCTGACTTCCTTCTATGGAAATCTCCCTCTTACTGCATCTCCTTCAGTGGGTGTGGGCTGTCTGACCTGAAGTGATTGGTATCTTTGCTTTTTCATTGTGAAATACTGTGAGTTTAATGCTGTCCAAAACATGCTTTTTCTCATTGAGAATTTCTGCAACTGCTAGTTACACAAATAGTCAAGTTGCACATGACAGTTTCTGCTGCAGGCAGCGTATATTCACATGTTTCTGCTTCATGAAGGTCATAGGTAAGATATTGTTTCTCTTAAGAAGTGAAGCAGCAAATAGTCACATGAGTGAATAATGTTATTCCTTGGCAGAGTCCCAGTGAAGTTAATGAGGCTACTTAAAAAGGTGAAAATATGCAGCTGTTTTGTGGAATCTGTATCCTTTAATGCTGAAATGTACCAGGGCAAAATACTGATTTTTACATGGTGCTTGGTATTTTGTAGGTTACAGCAATGTCACAATCCAATTTTATAGATTCTTACAGAATATCTTAGCTATTGTTAAAATTCACTCTCATGATCATTGAGATGCTTGGGGAACAATAGGTGTTTCGTGTTAGCCTTGAACTGTGTTGTATTAATAATGTCCTCTATTAATAATACATTAATGGATATAACTCATGCTGGAGTATCTATTTCATCCTATCAGTGGAATGAGTTAGGTCAGAGGAATCTCATGCTATGTATAATTACAGGTATGAGCCAGGAAGGCCTATTCAGGGTAAATGGCAGCATGAAAATGGTGGAACAGTTGCGCCTGCAATATGAGCGTGGAGAAGAGGTGGAACTTGTTAAAGATGGCGATGTATACTCAGCAGCCAGTCTACTGAAATTATTTTTGAGAGAGTTGCCAGATGGGATTATCACCTCTGCTTTACATCCCAGGTTCATTCAGCTTTACCAGGGTGAGTAACAGTGAAGATCTCCATCCATACTTCTTACTTTCTATACTTTCATTGTATGCAAAGAGAGCAGAAATATGAAGAATTGTATTTTGTATTGCAATTTACTTGTTTTGTTCTTGGTTTCCTTGAACGTTACTCTCATGTACTCTCAGAATGCTCACAGATGTGCAGTTCTGATCATCTTGGTAGAAATCACAATGATGTTAAGAGATGGAAAATCTTTTTTTATGTGTTAGGTAATATCTGGACTCAGCTTACATCTGAATGTAAGCTGAAATGCTCATTTGTTTTCTTTCAACATGTGTTATAGACTACAGTTGCATGCTGTTTAGAACACAGATTTGCTTCTGTTTTTATAGGACCGTTTCTGCCAATTCCACTTTAGCCGACTTAGAAAAGGTACCCTGTCCTAAAAAAGGAATCTGTTGTAATAATTCAGATTGAATACGCTTTGGGCCCGTATGTGCTGTCTAAATGTCCATTTAATGTCAAGTGATTTCTTACCAAAATGAGACATTTTGAAGAGTTTTCCTTTTATTCATAATGTTAGCACACAACTTGCTCCCACCACCACAAGTGATGGCTCTCCCCTAGAAAGATCACTTCTGGTTTAGAGAGTTGAGCAACTGAAACTTGCACAACTCTCTCAAATGATTTGTTGATCTAATCCAACTACGTGAGAGAGCTCAAATGTTATGCAGAATGGATGATCCTTGGCCCTATTGCTCAAGCCTAGTATGTGGTGGCTCTGGTTTTCGCTTGTTGCTGGAGGCTGATGCATTTTCTTGTAGACCTTTTAGGAAGAGGCAAAGTGAGTAAGTGTTGGTAGATATGTGCTTCTTGCAGTATAATATCAAGTGTGGTGCATGTAGAGGAAGAATGTGCAATGTAAAACAACACCCGTGGAGCACAAACCACATTCTTAAACTTTTACCCCTTTTGAGCTCTGGCTTTTTTCTTGCCTGCAGAGAAGAAGAAAGTCAGCTGTGCTATTGAGGGAGAAGACAACCCCAAGTGCCTCATCTTCATTTTCTTTTTGAGCCTGTGCGTTCTCTGAAGGTGTACTGGGAAAGCAGTCTTGGATGCTGTCAGTGTAGCTATAACAAGGCCTTGTATGCATTGTGTAAAAATTCCTTTCTCATTAGGAAAGCTGTTTGAGGTACAGAGACAGGGTAACGGAAGCTGTTTTATTTTTATTTATTTATTTTTCTCCTAATAGTGCATGTGCTTTCTCTTTATTTATTTTTCATTCTCATCGGATCTGACATGGCTTTCACAGGACTCAGATCATCTCAACTGGTAGTTGGACCTATGTTTACGGTTCAATGATCAGCCAGCTATGCAGGACTAGAGTAATTATCTATTCACTTATCAAAGTATGCACAAGGGTATCTATTGCAAAATGGTACCCAACAGCAAATGTGCCTGAGCTATAAAGAAAGTAGGTCAAACTGTTCCTGAGCCAGTGTGTTCTTAAAAAATAACTTTGAATATGGAGACACTTGACTGCATGCCTACAGTGAGGGCTGTTAGAATTTCTGCTATTATCACTGTGTTCCCTTTGGCTGAACCTTTGCATAGTGATTTTGTGCTTATATTGTAATTCTGCTGGAAATTTTTCAGGGATCGGTACCAACAGAAAACTTACTTTTGAAATAATGCAAATGTAGTTTGGTGAAGTGTGTCAGTGTTTTCTTTGTTTGTTTCCGTTAATATAAAAAAAAATGTTAGCAAGCAATTCTTGTAGTTAAAAATAGCAGGAGGAGAGAGAGAAAGAGAGAGTAGCAGCAACAACAAAAATTTCCTGTAGATGTAATACTTCTTAGCATAGGGTATAATTTTTATTAACAACCCCATAAATATATTAAGAAGAGACTGATTCATTTGTACTCTGTTCAGTCCATTCAGCTGGTTTGGTGTGCCATCTGAATTCTGGTGTGTTGCTGTTTGTTTATATAAACATTTAGAAAATTGCCAGATCAAGTAGTCCCAGAAAGCATCACCTAGCATATCCTACAAGTCTTTTGGCCCGTCCTAATGTTTGTTCTGTGTTCTCGGAGAAGTGTAGTGACAGTGGAGTTGAGGGGGAATCCTTCTTGGTAGATGATATTGATCAGAGACATGTGTAGTGAATGCAAGTAAGGGTCATGTGGGTTGTGGTTTCTCTTTCACTCTTATCTGTGAGGCATCTAACAAACACTGCTCCATATAGACAGTTCTTGGGAGTGGAAGTGTCCTTGAAGGTCTGTTTGAGATGCGAGCAGAGCAAATACATACACCTGTTTGCAGACACTGTACCTTCAGGGATGTTCACATCACTGCGACAGTGGTGCTGCCTACTGTGTAGGGGGAGGGAATAGTGTGAATCAGGACTGAACTTGGGAATTTTGTGTTAGCGTTAGAAAAGTGCCAAAGAAACCCAGTATATACGGAAATAGACTGCCCTGTGGATAGTGAAATTAAATGAGATGAGAAACTCTTGCAAATGTGTCTGAAGACCTACCTCCTACACTGCTGAGGCTCTTGTTTCTATTTGATGAATATTTGTCTTCTCCTTTGGCTATGAAAGTGCCTGCCCCTTTGAATTGTCCCCTTGACTTTTCCTGTCCTTACCTCAGCTCTGAGCTGCTGTACTGCTTTTGCTGCCTTCTTTGCCTGTTGTCCATAACTCTGTGTTCTGCCATTCTCCAGCTGGTGAGTCTAGACATGGCTCCAGACTGCCTGTTTTCTTTGAATGAATTTCCCCTTTCCTTAAGCCCAGAACACAGTGTCTCATATCCTGCTTCAGCTTCAGGTCCTTTCTTCACTGGTGTAGCAGACTTCTCTTGCTGATTTTCTCTAGAGTGCCGTCTGTCTAATGTGACTGTTCTCAGGCTTCCAAAAAAAAAAAAAAAAAAAAAAAAGGAATGCTTTAACTTTGCCTTGAGAGCAACTTTGACTTTTCCTCACCCTTTATTCTTCTGTTGCTCCTTTCTTCTTCTTTCTACCTTATTGGGCAAGAGTTTCCAAAGTATTGAATGAGATGTTGTGTGTTGGTGGCTAGGCATGTGGTTTGTTTGGAAAGTTGGTTTTTATATAACTTCCCAAATTGGAGTAGAATGCCTTTGAAAATCTGTCACTCCAGCGTTTCCATTATATTGACAAGCTCATTTGTCTCATGTTAAGATGAGACAGAGACTGAAGTATGTGCTTAGCTTCATACCACCCTATTTTATCTTACTGAATAAGTAAGTAGTCCTGATGAGAGTGGTACAGCTTAGATAATGCAAATTATGTCTTTTACCTAACCTTTGGGCTTCAATAGTCTCAGTACTTGCCCTCACATTCATAGAACTGTATTTGGTTTGACTTTGAAGGTTTGACTTAGTTCTTTTGCTGTTCATCTGGAGAAGGGGGAGAGAAGGCAACCACATTTTGTAATTCATTTTTCAGTAGGGTAGGGAATTTCAGGGCTCAAGAAACAAGTTTTTTCTGCTTTGTGATATTCAGTGACTCTGGGCCCTTCAGTTAGGGTAATTTCTGAATATTTTATATTCTTATACCTGACTATTCTTATAAGTGTTAGAAATTAAGGCATAACGCACCTAATATTGATATAATGATGAGTAAGGAGTGAAGATTTGGCTTTACCCGGTGGTAAATGTCTTTGATTCATACCACATGATCCATGCTCAATGAACAGAGGCATCCAATTCCCATAACCAATGACGTGAGGCCAATAGTTTTGTTTGTAGTCAGAGTGCATGCCTTGGGTTCAGAATGTCTTAGCACCTTGCTAATTTTGAAGTGTGGAGAAATAATTTGATAAATGGAAAAGTACTCAACAACCTGAAAGCTCAGTGGCAGGCTCAGAGAAGCAATAGTTCTCTAGGGCATTTCCTTATTAGGTGATGGAATGGTGATAGTAATACAGATGTAGTGTGTCCTTTTCTGAGTAAAGGCTGTGGCTTTCCTGATCATAGCAGCAAGCAGTTAATATCAAAAGGCAGTATGTGCGAGTTGGTTCATTACCTAATGAGAAATATGTTAGGAGGTGAATTTGAATGTTTTATCACTGTGGAAATCAGTCATGTTTTTGACCTCAAATTTATGAAAAAGTAATTACTGACCAAGTCAGAGACTGCGCTGTTCACTTTAATCGGTTCAGATATAAATCCAATTAATTGAACTCCTTATTGTTCTTCAATTTAATACAGCCTTCTGAAAGAGTCCTGAAATTTTGCTGCCTAAAATAATACATCTGATTTATTATTGTTAGCAAGCCAATTTTTAGCAATGCAGAAGATGATTTTTTTCTCTAACTCCTTAAAAACAAAAGAACAGATCGAAATACTGGCCATAATTAAGGAAATATCATTTCTCATTTTCTTAATGAATATCTGGTATTTCCTGGCTGCAAAATAAAATAATACAATTAATTAGCTCTGTCAAGTAATCTGGTTGGCATTTAAATTTTGGCTGGGTGTCATGAAAGAAATTGTATTAGCCCTGGGGTGCTTAGAAAGGTAGATTAGAATGAATTCGTAAATTGAAATCCCAGAAGTTGAATTGTATGAAGTGATGAGTACATACATGTGAAACTCATTTACTTTTCAAACTATAGACTTGGTAAATCTTTTTTTATTAGCTACATAAATGTTTGAGTGCAAAGCAAAAGTCGTTCTAACTTAATGACTGAATTTTCAGAAGTAACTCTTGGTTGTTTGTTGCTAGGCTGCTCATTTACCCTGTTAACCACTTATTAGTAGCACTACCCCTAGAATGCTCACCATTCCAGACCTGAAAACTTTTCTGGGAAATGAAAAGAGGACATGAAGACTACCTTAAAGATAACTAGCACTATATTCACAGCTTTCTGTCAAGCAAAAATTGTGGGGAAATGCTGAATGTCATTTTCTTAAGAAAGTTTGTGCCTGATGCGCAAGGCACGGTGTTGTTTGTTGATTTGCGTTTGCTTACCTGTTTTCCCAAAAGCTGGATTTTATTTTAAACTTAGAATTAATTTATTGTAGCACTAACTTTCTGATGACTCCAAAATCTTTTGGGGGTTTTTGGGGGGGCCAGGAAAAGGAAGTTAACAAACTGTTTTTTTTGAATTCTGAAAGCAGAACAAAACTAAGTAGAGAAACTCTGATCCATGCTTGAACCTTAAAAGGTTGTATAATATGTCAGTGTTAGTTGCCCAACTTTAGGCCTAATTTGGTCTCCTTGTGGTATGTAACACTACTCTGAATAGCCCTTTTGACTATGCTTCTCCCTGAAGATGTAGTATGGAATCAGGAATGGAGTTGTCACTGTGAGGTAAGCTCTTCATAAAACAGTTCCTCAGGAGATATTGCAGTGCTCTGTTGCAGTAGCATCTTTATTTCAGGTGCTTCTATCTTTTCCTGTCCTTTATTCCTTTGGAGATTTTCATGGGAGGGGGAGCTCAAAAGCAGAGCATGAGACAGGACTTGGGAAGCAGGAAAAAGCACCAGGAATAAGCTAGGAAGTAGGAGATCTGTTAGAGTTCGAGTTAAAACAAAGGTAGTAGTGTACTGGAGAGAACTGCATGTCCTTGAATGCTATTAGCTGTGACAATTGCCGCCTATGCTCAGGAAAAGCAGTTGCTTCTCCCTACTCACGTAAGGGTGAGTAGACAATTGTGACAAACTTGGTCGAGGTGAGCCTTAGGAGACAAGTACAGGTTGCTTGAGGGAACTTGATGGGCTTGAAGCATTCTTTGTCTTTGAATATAGCTAGACTAGATTTTAGATCCTACTGTTTGTTTTCCTGTCAATGTAAATTGATAGCAATGTAGTAAAACCTATATATTTTTTTTCTCATCTTGCTTTTCTTAGATACTAGGAATGACATGCAGAAGGAAAGTAAATTGAAAGAACTCCTTAAAGAATTGCCTGATGCTAATTATTGCCTGCTGAAGTATCTCTGCCGGTTCCTGACAAAAGTTGCTGAACATCACATAGAGAACAAGATGAATCTTTGCAACCTTGCCACTGTTTTTGGACCAAACTGCTTTCAGTAAGTTGACAGGACTTTCACTTTTCCTCTTGTGTTGGCTGAGCGTATTGCAGAGCAGATGGCCAGAAAGGTCACTCAGAAACCTACTCTTTGAGAATAATTAAGTAAAGGTTATGATAGCTCTCCTGTAGTATCTTCTTAAGCTAAGTTTATAATTTGGACTAAATGAGCAGTAAGTTGCTATCCTCTCTCATAATAGTACTTTCTGTAATACTGGTATCTATTGCTATGCTGATAGAACAGGAGAGCACAATGAAAGAGTATGAGCAGGAGGGTAAGGAGATGTGAGCTTACACTACTTTCTTCCTTGGCTATCAAATAATATGGAGGCTTCTGTACAGAAGGCTTAGAGAAAGAGTTTTGGTGAGGTTAAGGACTTGGGTGTAGCACCCAGGTGTTGCAGACTTTCAGAGAGAGGATGTTGCCTCTTCCAGGCAGAGGTAGCCTTGAATGATCCAGGGTTTGTCCTCAGGGTTCTGGGTTGTGCTTTTTAATCATTCTACTGTGTTTAAAAACTGACCTGAAGGTTTTTGGAATTCAGTTGGTGTTATGGGACTTGCTACTAGATTGACAAGTCTTATTATCTTCTTTATTCTGTCCCAGTTCTGTGTTTCTTGGGGTAGAAAAAGTATGCTGTTCATGCTGCTGTCTACTATAGCAGTAGTAAGGAGAGTTGGTTCAAAATGCAAGAATGTTTTCATGCAAGAACTTTACTTTTTATTCAGGTCTGTGAGGCAATGTGCTGTTAGTCTCCAGGTTCCTGTGTTCTGACAAGAATTCAAGATCAAGACAATATAGGAGAAGTGTAGGGGAGTATAGCTCAGCCATCAGTCTTGGAGAAATGCTTGACACCAGTAACAGGAGAAGTTAGTTCCCTGTAGCAAATGTTCAATGGATATTTGTCCATGTGAAAATTTCTCTCTGGAATATTAGTGATTGCTGTGTTTCTTAATGAGACTGTCTTGCTAGGCTTTCTCTATAGCCAGTGAAAAGAAACATGCTATTTAAAAGAGRGAAAACGGAGACAGAAGTTAACTTCCTTGCAATATGCTGAACCTGTTTTTTATAGCTAACTTAGATGCTGCTTTATCCATTTCTTGAAAGGACATATCATTTTCTACTAATTAATACCTGTGTAACTACTGCATACAGTGAAAGGAGATAAAAGTCCATCCCCTGATATTGAAGGATTGCTTTCTACAAAGTATTTTTAGTAAAATTTTAGCTAGTAAAACATGTTGTTTCCTACTGTGTTACTAAAGTTGTTTTAGATGGGAATAAATGTTCCAGGGAAAATTTCCAGATGCTTAGACTGCATTTACTGTTGTTCATTTAATTCCATTCCTCTACCTTCTCCTTTTCCAGCCTTTAGATTTTATCACCATTGTCTTGTCCACTACTTCCTCTATTTCGCTATTTGCTATGTCAAATCATGTTGGTGTTTCTCTAATAAAAGAGGTTATTGTGTTGTCTATTTTTGTAATGAATACGAAAGAGGAGAAAATAGATATTTGTAGTCCTTGTAAAGAAGTGTTATGTGAGTTGAAAAAGTAAAATATAACTATTTGACATTTAGTGCAGTTTTCTTCTACATGGGTTTGTTGAGATTTATTGTGATAGAATTGTTGAGATTTATTGTGATATTGAGTATACAAACAGAGCCCTAGAGAAACAACAAGCACGATATTATCAAACACAAGTAACATTTGGATTTTCTATCACTGGACTAATGTGTGTAGAGGATTAACACTTGCCCCGTAATTATTCCTGGATAAAGTCGTTGTCCACTCATCTGAATTACAGCTCCTGTGCATCTATAGCCTTAGTCTAGTCATGGTCTACTGTGCATCTCTGTTCAGGTCTCACAGTTTGTGTTCAAGTGGAAGCATAGGACTTGTGAAATGCTGATCTCCCTGAGTTACATAAACAGAAATATTAGCTTACGGAATGTTATTTACCAGGCTTATGCTTTAAAAACTTGGTTCTGATATTGTGTCGAAAAACCAAAAGCAGGAACAAAATGATGTGTTTGTGCGGAACTGCACCAAAGCTCAAGCTGCTTCAGAAAAGAACAATTAAACTTAGGAGGTTGGTGGTGTCCAGTTGGATACTGAACACACGATTATCAGGTGGTTGTTTTACATGATGGATCCCAATTTCTTCTTCCCATTTTACCACTACTTGTTAAGACTTACTGGCTGACATAGTTGATATGTTCTGTTAAATGATGTGCTTGTAACTTTTCAGTATTGGTTAGGATAGAGATCATTGATTGCTAAGGTCATTACAAATAGTGTTGATTTTTTGTCAGAACATGTTTGTGAATTAATAATGTAACAACTAGATTGTTTTATGAGTTAATGAATAAAAACAACTCCTAATTTGGTTATGACTGCTTAGAAAGTAACTCTAATTTGAATCTACTGAGATTTTCTCCTTCATTTTTAAGCAAATGTATAAAATAGTGCTTCAGACCTGTCATGTTAATAGCATGATACTTAAATCTAACTATGCATTTAAATGTTGGCAAAACATTCCACAACAAACATGTAACCTCCTACCAGGGCACCCTCTTCCTGTTGCTACAGAGTTGTAGCATATTGTTGTGCAGTTAGGTCCACTGTGGTAGTGGTGCAAAATAAAACTCGTGGAAAGGTGTATTTGGTCAAAATAAGGCTGCTTTTCTTAGCAAATATAGCATCCCTTTCTAAATAGGGAGAAAGTTAATGACAGCACCCTCCTTCCCTGCTAGAACCAACACCATTTGTTACCCTGTGCAGTGATTCAAATATTGCTCTTCCCTTTGTGTCCTGAAGTAGTTGAAAGTGCTGGAGAAATTGACAGAGACTACCAGGGCCTCATGCAAAATGCTTTGAAGCTGACAGGTGTCCTGGGAGTACAGCCTGTTGGAACTTCTGACAGTGGAGTCGGCTGAGATGTTGGGTTTAATGCTCCTTCTTCCGCAGCAGTTGCCCTAGGTGCAATGAAATCATTTGCAATCATGCCTTTGCTCTCTGTTCTCATGAAAAACTCAGATTTGTTGACACTGCTGATAWATTTCCTTTCTAAAACTCACAAGCTACCTTAATAAAGATGACTTAATCGAATTGTACTTCACCTAATCACGGGATCTTGACAGGGATTAGAACAGTAGCAGCCCCAAAAGTATTCTCATTAAAAGCAGTATTGAATTATTGCATTAGCCTTGGATAGGAATGCTTGTTTTCAAGTGGCTTGATTGTGAGGTAAAATTCAATATTCAATTTCATTTTGTTCTATAGTTGAAAGCATATAGACTCCAGCATTGCAATACTGCTGTCATCCTGCTTTATTTTAAACCTTAGTCTTTATCTCCATAGATTTGAATATGATAGATGGAATAGCAGTTCTCCAGAGTGTCAAAATTATGTCTAGAAGGGCCTGCTACTTCCTCTCGAGCCTGCACACATGAGGATATCTGCAGAAATAGTATTGACTTCTGCATAAATAATGCAACTGTCTTCTGTTCTTAAAAGTTCCTAGAAATGTGTGCTGGTTTCCTGGCTGAATTTTAGAGTAATATATGATGGTATTTCTTGTTATTGTAGAATATTTGCTTGCCTTCCTGCTCCCCCCGCCTCTTCCCCCACCTCTGGTCAAAGCACTTGATGCTAGCTGTTGTAAAAGCTTCCATGGTTGGTGTGACATACTAATTCTAAAGTGTATGCACTTTTTATTTTACTCTTCTTATACATCTCCTAAGAAATCTTCCTGTAGTTAATATCACAGAATTGTTTGTTTTGGATAAAAGCGTAGACCTTTCTTACACCCACCCCTCCAAATTTGGTTCATACATGCTCTGCCAAGCAAAATAGATTTGGGAAGTTTGATGAAAACCACGTGCTTCAGGGAGCTATTATTTTCAAAACTATTAATCTTCAGCAAGATCCCTATAGAGTTTTAGGCTCCAGAATAGCTATTATGGGTATTATAGAAAGTAACTAAATGGAAGGAGTTGAGAGTTATGTGTTATTTAGTTTATAAAAGACTAAACAGTGCTTGTAGTTTTCAAACTCTGAGTAGTTTTATAGAGTTATTTTTTCTTAAAGAAAATTTTGAGCATTGATCAACTGTATTTTTTAGATAGTAAAGTACTTAAGAAATAATGTTGACTTTCTGTGATGGAGTTACATATATTGGTGTTTTGTGTAGTTTAAATAGCTGCAATTTGCCGATTATCATCTCCTTATGGAAGGACTACATAAGTCTTCAGGTATAGGCCCTGCTATTTGTGTAAAGACTTTTGAGTGGACTTCTCAATGCGGTGAATGCCACTGCATGAACTAAGTGGCCTGGACATTAACAGATATGTTTCTACGAATATGACTGGAGGTATGAGAGAAGCTTGTAGTTTTTTCTGCCAACTCTTAAAATATTTGCACGAAAGTGTCCAGAGGCAAAAGTGTCAGTTCCATAATGGGATAATGAATTCTCTGTTGTGCTGATTGTTAGTTTTAGTCCGAGTTTGGACTTAGGTTTAGACTATTGACATGAATATGTACAGCAATGTTTCATCACTTGGGTTTTGCTCATAAAATATGTCACATGCCTAATAAATCAATACGTATAGAATCTGGTCAGGTCTTAGAAATCCGTGAATGAAGTACATAAGAGCCAGACTTAGGAGACTGAGAGTCCTCCTTAGAGAGGAGATTAGATGCAAATAAGTCTGCATGATAACCACATACAACAAGTTATTTGGGGGTTATACCAGATGTAGCCCTGACTTGATAATGTTTCCTGTTTGCACTGCTGAGAACTGACATGCACTCTACATTTCTGACTTGATTACCTTCAGATGAATCTCACTGCTTTCAGTTTAGAAAACTCAAGACAGGGGGCAGGCAGGGAGGGGAGGGAGGTAGAGCACGAAGCTTGAAGCTAGGAGTGAGGAAAGGTAAATGGGCTATTGAGTAGAGAGGCATTTCAGAGTTTCAGGGCTTCTGTTGACTATGTTGCTGAACTTGTAAGAATTAAACATCATCTAAATGTCTGGATGGATGACTTACCTTCATTTCTAGCAACCTTGGAATGTGCATGGATTACGCACGTGGAGGTGAAGTAAAAGTCAAGAGCCTAAAATGGAAATCTTCAGTAAGCAATATCAGCTTTTGAAGCATTATGTGAATGGACTTTGTTTTTAGGCAGTAGCCCCTATGTTGCATCAGTCTCAGTGTATTTGAACCTGTCCTTCTCCTATTTCTTACTGAAAATTAGAGTATGCAGCAAAACATTTATTACAGGATTTGTATAGATCTACTCTGCATTTGCCAGCAGAGTAGGAGGATTTGATACGAACAAGAATGCAATATTTTACAGCCTATAATATGTTTTTTAAAAATGTCAAGCACAATATAGGAAGAACAAACTTGTTCTCACCTCTAACCATATGAAATATTCATGAGTGGTATTTACTTTGAAAGAATATGGATGGCTATATACATATTGTGAAAATATCTCTGTTTCCTTCTCCTGTTGGTCTTCTGTTACTCCATTAGCTTTGTCGTCTGACATCTATTGGATGGCCTGTATGTAAAATAAACAGAAAATTGCTGGAGATTTTATGGTCTCTTTATAAACAGAGAGATGTTCTGGATGAATTGCAAAATGACAGTGGTATTCTGCTAATCCCAATCTCCCTTAAAGTTAAGAGTTTGTCTGTGATGATCTAACTGATGCTAGGTGCTTTGATAATTATTTTCATCCAGCAGCTGAAATCAAAATTGTCATTATTTTTGTTTTGTTACCCTTTTCCCAGATAACTTGGTATTTCCTCACTCAAAAAACCTACTTGAAAATAAACAACTGTTCTAGGCTGCAACTTTTCTTGCTTTAGATCCTGATTCAGGAATTAGTGATAAAACATGCTCAAAACTTTAGCCGAGGAGCAGTTTCACCAAAAATAAATAAAATAACAACAAAAAAACCCACCAGCAAAAACAAACGTGACTGTGCGTTTTTGTTCTCTTGTGGTCTTGGTAAAATTTATGTTACAATTCCTGCTCTATGAAGCTGTCTTTGTTCCGTGTAAGCACAGTTTGTAGGTGGAGTGGAGACAGAGGCAAGTTTGGAGAAAACATTCATGTGTCCTTAACGTCCTCAAACAGAGGTAGAGGAGCCCCTCCAGTGAGGCTGCAGGGGACCATTTAAAAACTCCTGTCTGTCATGCACTGTCAACCTTGCTCTCTATGCCCTGTCCTTCCCCCACATCCCACTTGTGCTGCTCCATGTGTGCCCCACCCAAAAAAAAAAAAAAAGAAAAAAAAAAAAAGAAAAAAGAAAAGCTTCAAGCCTTAATCTCACAGCCATAATCACGATGGGAGGGGACTACCTTATGTGGGAGGTAGGCAACAGATTGCTCGTTGCCTCAATATTTGCTTGAGTGCAATTTTATTTTGCAAATGGCGCTCTTCTAGGAACAAAAGCTTTAGAAGAAACATGAAGCCTTTATCTAAAAAAGACTTAATATAAATAAAATACTTTGCAGCAGCATCACTCTTGCCGCTCTGCACTAGCTCCACTTTGACAGCAGGTGCTGAGTTGGCATAACCCCTAAATTATGAGTACAGGTAGTAGTCTGGCTCAGAATTTAAGTATTAGGTGCTTCCTTTCAGAGACTGGGACGCTTCTGGAAAATCTGAGTAGCAATTTATGTACTTGCATTTGCTCCAAATGCATGAGAACACAGTTTGAATATCACAAAGAGCCTGTAACTTATTTGCCTAAGCTGCAGTAACTACCTGTCCTAGCTCATCTACTGTGCTTTGAGCTGCTTCTTGGCCTTCAATATTTTGCTGCAACATCAACAGAAATGAATGTATGCCTATTCTCAGCAGCACCTGTTTGTAGTGTAGGTTGAAGTAAACTACCTTCATCAACCATTACCTTTCTAGACTGAAGTACGGGGCTGAGTTGTGTAAGATGAGGAAAATGAGGTCATGTCTGTTACCAATGCAGTAAGATCTGTCTAGACAGACAGAGCAGACAGTGAGAAGTTATAATCTCTTTAACTACCGCAGCTCTGCTTTCAAAACCTTCTACTCTACATGCTGACATGTTCATGGACACAAGAGCTGTAAAGAAAAATCTATTATAGTGTTCCCTCTCCCTTGAGTTCCTTTATTTTGTGAGATTCCCACAGAAGACTGGTCAGCTTACTTTGCAATCATTCTCCCCTAGAGGCAATGATTAGAGAAGACAGAGCCCTTAATGTTATTCATGGTCAGATGGCAGTGCTGTCATTCCACACAGCTGCTTCTGCAAAACCCATTGAGGAAGGAGTAATATGCCTAGAATGGCATAGGACACCTCTGGAAACTCAACATGAGCAGGAGCATTTCACAGGGATAACACCAGTTCTCAGTTATGTTGGGGAGCTATAAGCAGCTGCTGCATGGGAGATCAGTCCAGCTGCCAATGGAGAGATGACTATAGCAGGAGTCCTTTGGTCCTACAGAGCCTTCAAGTGATGCCATCTCAAGCCAGATAGTGTCACTTTTAGACATGTTACTGCACTGATCCAAGTGAATTCTGTGCACACTTTTTAGAGTAGCCAATTATTTGTAAACTTTGTTTTTCTTTTTCTGTTAAACAGTTGTTTATTTTCAAGCAACATCTGTTTAAAAGCGCTCAGTTAGCATTGAGTTTTGTTTTGTTTTGATTGTGTTGCTGTTTTCTCTGTAGAATTGGACTTGGACTTCTTTTTTTTTTTTTTTTGATTCCCTGCTCCTTCTTTTTAAGTCTTTCTTATGTTTTCTATATTTCCTGGTGTGCTGTCTCTGCCATTCTTTGTAAGGTCTTTAGATGCGTCACATCCATGCAGCTGCTTTATGGATGTTTTACAGAAGAATGAGTCTACTGGAAAATGCTGTACTATGCTGAAAAAGCATTTTAAATGCTGAAAAAGATTTTCTAGGAAGTCTACGTTTGCACTTAAAACAGGACTTCAGTCAATGCTGGACATCAAAGCTAAATAATATTCACAGAAAAGCCTGCATTCCAGAAAATGGAATTTTCTCATTAGATGATTAAATTAAGGGTCTTAGTGGAGGGAGCATTATACATACATAGAATTTACATATAAGTGTGTATGTATATATATATATGTGTTTGTGTGTGTGTATGTATTTATATACACAATAACCATGTGGCCAAGTGATGTGAAACATAAGGAATGTAACAGAGCATGGACTGGAACACAATACTGCTTACAAATCAGTGCTTTGTCTCTTTGTCTGTGTGTACTTTCAAACTCTGTTACAAGCATTCCTGCACAGGAATCCCATTCAGGAGGGCAAGAAGTTGCATCTTTTCACCTTCTTCTAAAGCCAAGTAGCTGGGCTATCTTCCCAGGAAGTGGAAGCTGAAAAATATTTCTGTCTTTTCATATGAATCTTTCAGGGTGTTCTGGAGAAGGCAGCCTCCATCTTTGTTTTTTGAAATAGTCTATAAGATATAAGTTTTTTTTTAATGAGAAGGGTTGACTCACAAAGTAGGTGAAGAAATCTGGTATATAGCCTGGGGTCACCTCCTTACAATGTAGCGATCTTGCTTAACATTTCCTAATACTGTCCTGTTCAGCACATGGCCTTGGTATGTTTTGTGTTTTGTTTTGTTTTTTGGTTCATTCTTCTTATGTATCTTTGAAGTCATTATAAATCATTTTTTGAGATATCCAGCTTTTCCCATTGAGTGTTACCATTGGAACATCTATCGTATGAGGAAAGACTAAGTGAACYGGGCCTGTTTAGTCTYGAGAAAAGAAGGTTGAGAGGGGATCTGATTGATATGTATATGTATTCACCTGAAAGGTGAATGTAGGGAGGAAGGGGCCAAACTCTTCTCAGTGATGGCCGGTTGACATCACTGGCATAAGTTGAAACAGGAAGCTCCATCTCCATGTAAGGAAGAACTTCTTTACTGAGGGTGACAGAGCCCTGGAACAGGCTCTGGGCAGGCTCCTTGCCCAGGAAGGTTGTGGAGTCTCCTTCTCTGGAGGTCTTCAAAATTCACCTGGATGSCTCTCTGTGCCATGTACTTTAGGTGTTCCTGCTTAAGCAGGGGGTTGGACTAGATGATCTCTAGAGGTCACTTACAACCTTAACCCATCTGTGATTCTGTGCGACTGTTTGGAGAGTTTTCAGTGCCTCATGCTGGTTGTACTGCAGTCATAAACCCAACTTTTAAATATGTGATCTAAATTTATGATGTGAATATATGGTGGAGTTGGTCCCGTCTCATTTGCTAGTTGTCTCACYTAGATCTCTGCCTCGGTTCTTTAGAGTAGGCAATTTGACTAGCAGATAAATCAGTGGGAAAAACTGCATCCAATTGCTCTAGTTGTAGCCTCCAGAGATATCCTTTGTTTTCAAGACAGAGTTTTTCATGTGTCTTCTAGCCAGCTTGTATTTGCAACTGAAATGTCATAGGCACTTTGTGCAGGAACATTTGTCTGTTCAATAGTTATAACACTGCACTACACATTCCATTCAATTTCAGTGTGCCTTCCGGTTTTGAAGGGATAAAGGAACAAGAGATCTGCAACAAGATAATGACTAAAATGCTTGAAAACTACAGTACCTTGTTTGAATTAGAGAGTTTTAAAAAGGATGAAGAAAAGCCTGCATGCGAAGAGCTAACAAGAATTATTTTGATCAAAGTGAGTATCTTTAATATTTCCTTTTCTTACAAAAAATCAATAGAGAAGATTAATTAYATGCTTAAATTCAGAAATGTTTAGATGAGTGGAGGCAGAACCTGTCATAATATGTTCTGTAGTATTGATTGGTGTGTGTTTTTACAGATCRATTCTGCTCATAGGCTAAATTTTGTCATTAGTCTGGAAATTGATTCAACAACTTCACTTTTTATTAGTTAAAGTGTTCCCTGTTATTGGTATAAGAAGTATATTATCTAAAAAAATGAACATTTTGAAATGAAGAGAAATGGTTCTAGGAGACCATTTATTCTCTGAAGATCAGTGGTGATAGGCTTTTATACTTAAAGACGGTATGAAGTCTTTAGCCTTTGCCACTCTGATGCCTGCTTGTCTCATACACCTTCCCGGGTCTAAAAGCCATATTCTATCTCTGCTTTGCTCCCAGTTCTGTAAAGCCTCCTCTTCCTTATTGCTCAAGCATATCATAGGATTATAGTTAGAMATGATGAGATTTTTTTTTTTCTAGATAAATCTCCTACAGAAAAAAAAAGTATAATTTTCACAAAATGGAAGCTTTCTCTTAAAATAGCTTCCATTTCACTGAGGAATTGAACTTTTAGATCCCTGATGCGTTGCCTCGATTGTCCTCTGTCCACCTGGTAAAATGAGATAGACAAGATCTTCTGGGCAGATAGCCACCAGGTGGAAGCATAGCATGTGCTTTTTCTTTCTTAATGGATAGTGCCACTGCTGAAGTTATTTATCTATCTGAGCTGCTATGGATTTATCACAATACGTGCAATATCTATGTATTATAAGACAATGTTATTTATGTTCTATTTTGAAGCAGAATTCCCATCTTGTATGTATCTGATTGACATTTGTGGCAATAAACTGAGTGATAACTTGTGCATTTAAAGATTAATCAGACTGAGTTGAGGAATTACTAATTGTAAGTTTGAGAAATCTATGCGAGTAAGAATGGTTTTCAACTGGGGTCTTTTTTGTCCAAAGATCTTGAAAGTGCTGTTCAAAATACAGCTGCATATAGTCCTATATYGTACAGTCAGCCACTGCTGTGTGCTTTTAACTGTAGTAAAATGTGATCCTTGAAAAACAGTGGTTAACAAGTTTTTTCACTGGTCAAAGATAGACAGTAAAGAGTATTTTTACTTAGTCTGAATGGCCAGGGGAATCAGGACAGGAAAGATTTATGAGACTCAGCCTTGGCATTACCCATTTCACTGATTTCAGATCAAATATGTCAGCCTCTGAAGTGTGATGATTTTTAGGTCACTATTGTCTCAGAATGTATTACATAGCCAGGTAAGTTTTTTGGTTTTTTTTGTTTTTTGTTTTTTGTTTTTTTTTCCCCTTTTAAGCTTTCTGCTCTAGTGCCTTTTTGAGAGAACACTTTTCATTTTAAGCGTTCTTACATATATTGGAATAGAATGCAAAAGGTCTTTCACTTCTTTCCCTGTTAGGTGATGGAGCAGACAGTTCCTTTGATGCAGAAGAGAAAGCAAACCAAGTTATGTAATTAAAACTATAACATTAACATTAATTTAAAATTAAAATGAAAAAGCCTAGTAAGAAGTAGAAAAGATCAATTTCAAAGTTGTAAGTGCTATGAAAGTGCATTCACAGGATGCCTGGGCAGCATGATTTTACTCTTTGAGCTTTGGGAACCAGTATGTTGTTGGCTTTTGCAAAAAAAARAATAGTTTCAAAACAACAAAACCTTTTCTGCAACGTCAGGGCTCTGGGTCATTTCATTATATATGCAAAGGACACTTAAGAGCAATTCCTGTTGTTTCAGGAAAAAAATATATCCACTTCTAATCCATGTCATACTGCCCTGGCTAAGCCTGCAGGGTCTAGATAGTTTCCTGTATGCTTCTTTAATGCCTAAGACCATTTTAGCATGGTGTTAATGATTGGGTTTCAGTACTGGATTAATTCTTTCCCCACAGAAGTTAGTGGGAACTGATCCCTTTTGAAAATCCTTTTTAAAGGTCTCAGCCAGAGTTTATATTTCAACCAGCATTCCCTCATTTGGACAAGTCATGCTAGTTCCCTCCTGTCGTGTCCAGAGAGCATCAGAGCATAGGAACAGGTTCAAATAAGAGGAAGATGAGTGGAGAGGTCAGGGACAGAAAAGAGCACCTGTGGAAGTCTATCTCCACTTTTCTGTTTAATATTTTCTCAGTATTTACTTCACAGTTGTCCACCAGTGAGCAGATGGACATGTTTGTAATAAGGGTATATAGTGATTCAGCCAGAATGACATGTTAGGACGTGAGCTGACAGGAAATGAGCAATATGAGATTTGTAGAGGAAAGTTTAGAAGCTTCCAAACCCTTCGCCTGTAGTAGATTGTTGAATCTCAAGTTGGGAGGATTGTTATGCTTAGGCTGTGATTCAGAAGGTAAGGGAAAGATCAGATGAACCTCAAACAACTCCTCGTATAATTTTGAAAGAAATTGTTATACTCCTAGCTCATCTCCTTTTGACAACTCCATATATGTAGAATACTTCTGCTCTTGAAAGTAAGAGCAGTAAAACATTCATAACTAGAATATAAAACTGTCACTTGTGGTGTTACTAAATACTCTCCTGAATGTGTAMTTATATTTACTAATATATTTAAATATTTATATTTACTAATATATACAGATACATTGAAGTTAAACTGTGTAAACTAAAAAAAAGGTTTTGGTAATATATCTCTAGGTAGAATTTCACTACAGCAATATTTTAGCTTTAGCATATTATGAGAATGAACCAGCTAAATTTTAGCAGATTTAAATGAATAGAGGCCTATAACAAACTTTACTTTTTATTCTACTCCCTGTATTTCTAGTGTACGGTTACTCTCTTGAACATAGTCAGCCAGTTTTGCAGTTGAGATGGGTAGGAAATTTACTTCCATTATTTGGTGAGTTTTTCATAAAGAAATGTCCAGTAGTAATCATTGCCTATTACCAAGTACCATGAATGTGGAGAAAATAAAGTCCTTATGTGTCCACACCTGTATTTGAACATTTTTTATTCATTGTCTCTATTTTTTATTTTTGTTTTGTTTTGTTTTTTGGGGTCACCATGGTTTAGGAACCCACTTGGGAGAAGTCCCTGTCAGTCAGTATGAAAACATCTATAGAAAAGGAATCATCAAAGTCAGCACCAAGAAATAAGGTATAGTAAAATGTGCACCTAAGCCTCTGTTCTAGCTAGTTGCTTCTTAGCACCCTTGCTGTATCCATGGGGAAAATAGGGGTTTGGTAGGAAGCCGAAAGTTTTTTTACTAACAAATCTCTCCGTTCCTCCTCCTCAGATTTTCCAATGTTTGTTCTGTTTCATTAATTARTCACAAAATTAATCATGTTAAAATAATAGGCATTGTTCCCAATAAATCGACAAAGTCAGTGCCATCTTTGTAACAATATCATATAGCAAACAATCAGAATCATTTTAAAGGGATGGAAGTACATACATTTGCTTGCTTATTTTACTTACAAAGTAAGACATTTTTCAGCCTGTGAGGCTTAAATTCCTTCTGACCTCTACTCTTTATTTTGTCTGTAATACTTTTAAGATGCAGTCTTCAGAAAGGCTTGTCGCTGAATGAACTGATCATCCCATTATAACTGACCAATGAAGTGCTCACTGGCCTCAGTAGCAKTACTATGTATTTTTGAAAAGCCCTCCCTTAAATACTGTTAAGATCAGAGTATGTCTAATAGTCATTGGGTTGGTACGTCTTGGTGCAACTGTAAAAGCCATTGCCTTGCAGGTGCCCCGAGATTTGCTTGTAATATGCAAGACTGAGAAGGGCAACAGAGTTTACTGTGCAAGGTRCACAAGGTGACAGGCATGCTCTATGTGTCTGGCTATGGAGGTTCCTGAAAATCTGATCTATSCCCTAAATCCCAGCACCGTTTGACCTTGATTGCTGGCAGTGATCATCTCAGTTTCCATATTAAGAAAGAGTCCTCTGTGTGCTAGAAATCTTAGAGGGGTAACTAAAACAATATAGTGACACTTTAGACTATAATTTACTGCAACATCATATGCTCCTTTTAAAAGAGACACTGCTGAATTCTGTGCATGAAAAAGATTTCTCCTTGGGAATGTTTTGATTTTTAGATCAGAAATGCAACTTAACTTTTCCAAGGCTGTTTTAAAGCTGTTGTAACATGAGATGTTAGTCCAGAGAGGCAGAATTTCTCCCATAGTTAGGTCATGTTTTTCTTTTAGATCATGCTTTTTCCAATTATGGATAACTTACAGTAAATAGATAAATCAGATAGCTGTTTTCAAAATTTCAAGGGAGAATAAAATGTTCCTCTAGTACTGATTTTAGCTTTGTTGTCAGTAGGCACAAATACATATTATRCAAACCCAGCAAGAGAACAATATTGTTGTGTCACTTTGTCAAGGTTTGGGGTTTTTTTTTTTTTTTTTTCGGTCTGAAACTCTGCTACAGCCTCCTTATTGGTATTTCAGCCAYGAGAAGCTCAATTGTTCTCAGTAAATGATTAAATGGTATGTTAGCCCTGCTAGCTAATATATACTTAAGTATATAATTCTGTATATGTATATTTAAATATATATACCTACATATATTTATATAAAAGTATAGATTCTGGGAATGGACTTGGAATATGAATTTCTCAGCTCTCTCAATTCCTTGTCAATGTCAGGGGAAGTTACATTCCACAGGAGTACATTTCCCTTACAGAAAGATGCCTGTTAATTGGGCTTTATAGGTCCTAGAAGTAAAAACAAAACAAAACAAAAAMACTACTACTAGTTACCTAAAAGATAGTCTTTATAACCTGAAATTATTTCTGCTCATTGTATTAGTTCACTGTAACCGTATTATCAGTTAAATTTCATCAGTATATATTAAGTGATCCCCTTGGACTGCTAGAAACGTTATAATTTTTCTCCTAGAAAATACCCTAATATTACATAGAGTTGCCAACATTCGGTCTTATCACAGGGTCACATGTATGGTAGGGGTCATTACTGTGTTTGTCATTTCCTTTTTTATATCATAATCCCTTAAAAAAAATAAAAGGGTTTCACATCTTTCTGTTGCTTTTGTATCACAGTTCATGACCTTTGTATGTGTTTTGTGGCAATCTCCTTAATAATTGCAGTATAGGTTAAGGTTGTACTGAAGTGAAGCAAAGTAACCTTTAGCTGTTTATGCAGAGAGGTCTAGTCTCAGGTAAGAGGTCACGTACATAAATAGCCTTGGGAAAACAAAAGGAAATGAAAAGAGGACTGAATAGGTTATTAACTTAATAGCTGAAAAGCAGTGATGTGTCTTTGGCAAACTGTAAGATTTTGCTCTTTATTGCTCCTGTCCGGAAGAGCTTTGCTGAATTCTGATTGCCAGAAGTATAAATGATAGCGAGATAGGAGAGCAGATAGATATCAATTTGGCTTTGTTCTTCTGTCTATAGGTCAGTCACAAGGGAGGTGATGTCATATACTTGATGTTTCATCCTCCATTATTTGTGGTGTTTAGATAAAAGAATGGTTAATAGTTTTACTAGCATTCTTCTTCTAACAAGGAAATTTTCATAATTTTCTAAGTACAGTATACTCAGGGTGATTAATTAAGGACAGGGTAGTTAATGCCTGTTAAACAGAGATTTAATTTTTTTTGTGTTCATATTAAATCATTGTCTGTATTTTTCCTGAAGACATCTGTCTGATGAACACCGAACAATGACAGTGTAAGCTGACACCTGATTTTAAAAAGGAGTTATTCCATCAGATTAACATTCATGAAGTTTGCTGTGGACCACATGAATTAGGAAATATCTTTACAATTCCCAAGCTGTTACCTGCACAGTTTTAGATTTTAAGCTTTTTTTTTTTTTTGGTGTTTTACATGGCTTATGGAGTCTTAATCAACCATAAGCTATTTTCCAAGATCATAGAGAGAAAGAGATTCCATGTTTTCTTAGGCTGTAAGCAAGAAGAGCCACAGCTCTGAAGCACTTCTGCTTGTGGCACCCTTGGTAGCACTGCAGACTGTCTTGTCCGAGCTGCCGTGCTGTGATGGAACCCTGTGCAGAGGGCAGCCCTGAGTTGGATAAATAGTTCTTCATCCAACAGTAAGCAGAGAGCCAGAAACTCTGAAATAGATTGTATTTTTTTTGCCCACGGACGACACCGCTGGGCACTTTTCTTACAGAATATGGCACAATTGCCAGTGTGACCCTGCTGATGCCTACCTCTGTGAGAGACTGTGTTACTTTGGTATTTGGGGTGCTGCTGAGATAAATAAAATATTGCCACTGTACAGCCGCTGACCCAGTAAAGAGGCAGCTGCTGCAGGCAGTCCYGGTGAGATCAGCTATTGCGTATCTTTTATGATCATTCACAGCATTGAATTCACTGCATGATGCTATAAATAGCAGCTCATCCCACGTAAGAATGCCTGGCCCAGCACAGATTTGAGATCCTCCAACAGTGCCCATAAGCACATGATGAGGGAGGAGTAAGAGGAGAGCAAGGCATGTCTGATATTTCCTTCATTTGCTCTTCTCACTAGCTTCTTGAGGCTTTCCTGGCTTTGATGTGATTTGTGCATTTAATAATGCCCAAAGTACTTGTCTCATCACCTTTAGCACATACGAACATTTTGCTTCCGCTATGTCATGTGGCAAGAAATTCCACAAATTATTTCCTGTTATGTGAAGAACTCGTTTTGTTTGTTTTAAGCATGACTTTTACTTGAGGTGGGTTTTTTTTTTTTTACATTGAAGGAGACAAAGAAAAGTCCTTCCTTTCTCTGCCACTCGTGATTTTGTAAAATTCTGTCATATCTTCCCTTGAAGCTACCATAATTTTTTTTTTTTTTTTTTTTTTAGTGAAAGATTAGTACTGACATTTGCAAGCTTAATCTCTACATTGTCAACAACTGGTTCCTCTATCAGGGCCTTTGTGTAGGAGTCTGTCAGTAAGCAAACAAGCATGTGTAATAACACTTCTATTTTGGGACTCAGGGCCAAATGTTCTTATGCTGTATATTGGATGACATTTTGCTGAAGTTCAGGGAGCTGTACCTTCTTTCTATCAGAAAAAAATCTGACTTGCTTTCTGTGAAAAATGAGTTTCTAGCTTCACAGTGACATAAGTTTGTGCTTTTTTAAGTAAAGCCTTTTGTATGTTAACAGGTTATGCATTTTCTAGCAGCACTAAAAACTTATGTTGAAAATTAAGGGGGTTAGTTTCCTTTGATTGTGCAGTTTTTTGAGGCCAAAGGGAGATTAATTGATAATCCAACTAGAGAAGAAAATATGAACACAATACTGATAATGAGGTGGTTTCAAAAAGACCTTGGAATGCCAAGTTATCAACGAAATATGTTTGACTGCATCATTAAAATAGAGCACATTCTATAATTATTGCTCTTACTCTTTTTTTTCCCTAATGCCCTCCTAAGCTAATTGCTATCAAATGCATTTAAACTCTTGTATTCAAATGCTTTTAAGTTGTACTTTTAGAGTATAATGTGTGTAGTGACTAAAAAGACAACAGAATATAAAAATTCCCTTATTGTACAGCTTATCTCTGAGACCGCACCACTGAAGTTGAAACTTAGCAGTTTTTATCCCCATTCAACATTGCGTTGAAAATGGTAAAAGCACGGGTTATATTTTCTTCAGTTTGAACTAATTATTCCAGCCAGATAACAGTGTAAGATGCAAGTATATTCTATGTATTTTTCTTAGCAGAAAAGGAACTAGCACAGTTTATTCGGCCTCAAAGAAGAAAAAGTATACTGAATAAACAAAAGCTTACTATAATAGTGCCTATTTTATCTTTCTGATGAAATTTACCAAGATTTTTTCAATGTTTCTCATCCTAAAGCCAGTAGTGTAAGTATTTGTGATGTGGGAGGTCAGGGTCTGCTTGTGCCAGGGTAAGTGTTTCTTATTCTCTTGTGGTAATGTTAGTCATCTCCCTAAAATTAATTTAAATATATAATTGTGAGTAACTGATCTCTCTCACCATTCCATCCTAGTCTGTCTGTCCGTGTTACCATAAAGTGCAGCAATAGTTGCTGAAAAAGATGAGTTGCCAAACAGTTTATAGCCTGGCTCTGATTCGACCTCTTCTTTAAGGATGCCCTTGACCTACTGTGTTTCTTCATTCAGGTGGGAGGAAGG